CCATCTGAGCCACCCAGGCGCCCCTAAATAAATCTTTTAAAAAGTGGGGGGGCACCTAGGTAGCTCAATTGGTTGAGCACCCAGCTCTTGATTTTGGCTCAGGTCATGATCTCAGAGTCCTGGGATCGAGCCCCACATCTGGCTCCGTGGGGAATCTGCTTGGGATTCTCTCCCTCCCTCTCCCTCTGCCCCTCCCCCCCCGCTTGTGCACATGTGTGCACTCTCTCTCTCTCTCTCTCAAATAAATAGACAAATCTTTAAAAAAAAAAAAAAAAGGAAACATGGGATAACTTAAGATGGGGGAGCAGGGATCAAGGAAGGTTTCCCAGAGTGTAAGGAGAAAATAGTGTTGGGCAAAACGATTCTGGGAAGATGAGCAAGCATCCAGTCATGGTGGTGTTGGTCATGTTAAGGATTTGGGCCTTTATCCTAAGAGCATTGGGAAGCCACTGACAGTTTAAGCATTATTAGATCATTCTGCTTACAAAGTGGAGAATGTTTTGGAACAGGGAGGAAGGGGAGTGTGGAGACCCCAGCAATGAGGATATTGTAGTAATTTATACTGGAGAAGATGGGAGCTTGGACTAAGGTAGCAGTGGAGAAGGTAGACAGAAGTAGATGGATTCAAGAACTATTTGGAAGTAAAATTGCCAGGATTTGGCTGTCAAATGTGGGAGGCAAGGGGTGCCTGGCTGGCTCAGTCAGTAGGGCATGCAGTTCTTGATCTTGGAGTTGTGAGTTCAAGCCCCATGTTGGGTGTAAGAGATTACATAAAAATAAAATCTTTACCAAAAAAAATGTGGGAGGTGAAGAAAAGGGAATAGTCAAGAATGGTGACCAGGTTTAGTCTTAAGCTATTAGGTGGATAGCCAGGTTTCATCAGCTTAAGTTTAAGATGCCCATTAGATATCCAAGTAGACAGTTGGATATATAGCTCTAAACCTCAAAGGAAGGGTCTGGGTTAGAGATACTGCCATTTGGTAGGTCAGTAGATGTTAAATATTGGTAGTTTCGTATGTTTTAGGTGGTAAAGTTAGGGGAATGAATCAGACCCCCTAGAGAGTTTAGAGAGAGAAGAGCTGAGGGTCTAAAGTAAAGGCTTCTGGAAATTCTGTCCATTAATGTCTAAAAAGGACCTGAATTCTGATTGCAATAATTTTCCCCTTAAATTCTTTTAAGGGATGTGTCTTCCAGGAAATACCTGAAGATACAAAGGAAACAAATGTAGCTGGGAACATTGGCTAGTTTGTTGGAGTAGAGGCGATCATTTGTGTTCACAGTAGCTACAGCAGCCATAATAGAAGGCTGGTTAAAAGATACTCTCCACCTCTTTACCAGACTGACACGCTGAACCCATAAGAGTAAAATAATGCTAGTGATGAAAGCTCACATTTGTTGAGCACTTACTATGTGTCAAATGCTTTTACTTAAATCATTACAATAACCTTATGAGGTTGATACTAATATTAACCTCATTTTATAGGTAAGGAACCTGAGTCTCAGAGAAGCCCCACTTTTACAAATGAGGAAACCAAATCTCAGAGAGGTTAAGTAACTGGCCTGTGGTCCTACAGGTAAGAAATGATAGAGCTGGGATTTGAGCCTAGTAGATCTCACTCCGGAGTTGTGAAACTTTAGGATGGCAGATGATTGGAAAAATGTCAGAACCGGAGGGCTCTTGAAGTTATGTGTACAGCTGCCTTTCTTGTACAGCTAATATTTGGCACGCTAGAATAAGTACAACCTTTGTGGCCAGCCAAGCCTGAGTTTGCCACTTCCTAACTCTGTGTTCTTAGACATGTGACTGTGCCTTATTTTCCTCACCTATAAAATAATGGTAATGATTCTCACAGGATCGTTGTGAGGGCCAGACAAAATTATTTAGTGTGTATGGCCTATATCAGGTACTTGGTTAATAATGCTGCTTTTTATTTTAAGTATTATGGTTATAAGTTATGGTGTAATTGGCTTATAGTTGAGAAAAGTTGAGGATCAGAAAGTGGAAGGGATTTAGCCAAGATCACATGAAGGCAGAGCCAGGAGTCCAGCTCCATATCTTGGCTCCTGACCCATGCTCTCTACTAGACCATGTGGACAAAGACCACTTTGTCATTGGATCAACCATGGTAGTAAGACAGGGTGTCTGTGGGCCCCAAGGTAGAAAGACATTAATTTTCGTAGCAGGCATTCTCATTATTACTATTATTGCAAGCCCAAGGAGAGTGACAGTTTCCCAGAGATCTCTCAGTGAAAGGCATTCTTAATGAGGCCACTTAGCACAGTTAGAAGGTAGAAAAGACAGTTAGACCAAATGTCACCTCTTTGTTCTGTCAGTCTTTTATTTACTCAACAGACAGCTACTCTGCACCAGGTCCAATGCTGGGGATGCTGCAGGGGATGAGGAGGTTCCCAACCCCAGGAAGTACATAGGCACATAGCCTGTGTCCCCATGAGCAATGAGGCCTCCGGGATTCTCATCAGGGCCAACCACCTAACCTCACCCCACCATCCGTCATCCTCAGAAGGGCATTTACTGTCAAAAGCAGCAGTCCCCGGGTCCCATTTTATTGGATAACTAAGCACCTTGATTTTTATGTGTGTTTCAGCTGGGAAGGGCTACCCCTGCAAGACGTGTAAGATAGTACTGAACTCCATAGAACAGTATCAAGCTCATGTCAGCGGCTTCAAACACAAGAACCAGTGAGTAATCGTCCTTTGAAATTCAAGGGTCTGCAACAAGAACTCAGGTCTTCTAAATAAAAACAAAGCCAAGTATTCCTTTGCTAAAATGGAATCCTGGCAGCCTTTTCTCAGTCAACAAAAGATCAATCAGTTAACAGAAAGAAGTGTCTCCTCTTTAAGTTTGTCTCCCGTCAGCTTCTCTGCAGCCTTTGGACCTGCTGGGCTGAAGGTTTTAGTAGAGAAACATAGTTTCCTTGGTGGTCTCCTAAAAGTACTTAGGTTTTCTGCCCTTTAACAGTCTGACTAGGGAAGCTTTTTTTTGTCCCCACCACCGGCACAAAGAACCTATTCTTGATTGTCATCAATTTTGTGGCAAGAGCTCCCTCTATGGGTTATTACCAAATATGACCAGGTTTGTTCATTCCTAGACCAAATATTTATTGAACACCCTCTGAGTGGTGGCCAGAGACCCAGGCCCTGCTCTCATGACCTTACATTCTGATGGGAGGAGACAAACAATAAGCAAGTAAACAACCAATAATTACAAATTGTGATAAGTGCTTTGAAGGAAAGAGGTAAACAGAATCAGTCATCTGTTCATATAAACCTTGAAAATGACTAACATTCTTTGAGCCCCTATTCTGTTACAGGGCATATGCCAAGTAAATTCTCTCAGGTAGGGCGCCTGGGTGGCTCAGTCGGTTAAGCGTCTGCCTTCGGCTCAGGTCATGATCCCAGGGTCCTGGGATTGAGTCCCACATCGGGCTCCCTGCTCTGTGGGGAGCCTGCTTCTCCCTCTCCTCCCCACTTGTGCTCTCCCTCTCACTATCTCTGTCTCTCTCTCTCTCAAATAAATAAAATCTAAAAAAAAAAAAAAAAATTCTCTCAGGTAATCCTCACAACAGCCCTAAGAAGAAGGAATTATTACAGACAGAGGCAGCCACCATTCCAAGTGATAGTATGAGGCAGAGCCTATAATTCAAACTAAAGCTTGTCTGGCTCACAGCACACTCCTCCAAGGCTTCATGCTTACAAGGAGGTTGTGGCACCATGCGATATGAGGAGGCTAGGGCCTAGCCAAGGGAGGGCTCGCGTGGGTCTGTCCCTTCCTCTCAGAAGGGAACTGGGTAGTGTGGACAGTGTGCCACTACGTAACTTTCTGAGATGGGAATATCCCCATTTTATAGATGAGGAAACTGAGTTTCAGGCAAGCAAGTCTACTAAAATGATTTCTTTGACTTTGGTGGTAGGTTCCGTATTGCTCACAGAGCTGAATGAATTAAAGGTGGTGGAAACACAGAATATTAGAGTCAAAATGTCCTTGGTCCTCTCTGCCTGAAGTTTCCCCTCCCACATTGCAGCAGGTCTTCTTATTTATTTGTATATATATCTTAAATTGGGAGGACTCTTGAGGCTTCTTTTCGATATGAACTTGACACAAGCCCCTGCAATCCAGCGGGTGGGGCTCACTCCCATTTCAGCACACCCTCCTTGCAGCTTGACTGGTGGCAGTTTCAGTAGACCGCCTGGAACCAGCCAGAGCCCTACCCTGGGGCTACCCCGTCTTGAAAATGCTAGAGTTTACCATTTTCTTCCTACACTTTGAGCTATGGGACTTTGGGTGAGTCAGTAAACCTCTCTGAACCCAGTTCCTTTTCTGTGATATTATAGATACAATTTGTTGAACACCTAATTTAATCTCATTTAATTCGCAATAGCAGCTCTGAATTAAAGACACACAAACCCCCCTTTTCCAACCCAAGGAAACCTTACGTCAGGTAGGTTAAGTGACTTGCCCAAGATTGCACAGTTACTTGGAGTTAGACCCAGAATTCAAATCTTTTGATTCCAAAGTGCATTCATTGTGCTCTGCCATTCCAAGTGGAGCTTGACATGAAAGTTAGAGAGAATGTATGTGCAGTGCTAGTACCAAAAAGGGGAGCTATTAGAGGTAAGCTTTCATTCATTCAACAAATATTTATTGAGTACCTATTATGTGCCAGGCCCTGTTTGGGGCACTAGGGCTACAGTAGGAACCAAGACCAGTAGTGTTCCCTGATCTTTTGGATCCCTATCTAGTGGTAGAAGCAGATCCTAAACAAATCCATAAACAAATAAGACAATATCAGGTGTTGCTAGATGCTCAGAGAGTGGGATGGAGAGTGACAAGAGAGCCACTTTTGACTCAGTGTGGGGGAGAGAATGATCAGTCTGTACTATCCAGGTCATATAGGGTCATATAGAGCCCTGTAGGCAGAATAAATGGCTTGATATAGTGGAGAGACATGGGCTGCCATCCTGAATCATCCACACTTTCAGAAAGCTTATGGGGCAGGGGGGATTTTTTAGAATAACTAGAAACAACAATAAAAAGCTTACTGGGGGCAGGTGACTTAAACTTTCTGAACTCTAGTTTCCTCATATATAAAAGGGGGGTACTATCTCCCCCCCTTGGAGAATTGCCATGAGGATGAAATAGGATGCTGGAAGCAAAGCATTGTGCAAGGCATGCAGTGGCCCTCAGTAAAGGAGAGCTGCCCTCCCTCCTTATTACTCCAAGGCCCTGGAAGAGCTGTACTCTCTTTAGAATCAACTACCTGGAGCATCAGCCCAGCCGCCACAAACTGACCCTGTGCATTTATTCCTTCTCAAATTACAGGTCACCAAAAACAATGGCATCACCCCTGGGCCAGATTCCAGTGCAAAGGCAGACCATTCAGAAAGACTCAGCCACGTTGGAAGACTAGAGATGTTTCTGTCTGGCATCCCAGGTTGAACCAGCCATGAGCCAGCTTCCCGTGACCATGGTCAGCCCTTGGCTCCCTCTTCCTCGTTTCTTATACCTGGAGAACATGTAGGCCTAAGGCAGGAGTGGGCCACAGGTAGCCTCTGATTGGTCCAGGGAAATCCACCCCTGCTTTTCCCCTTTGGAGTGGGCCCTGTAGGTCAGGACAAGAGAAGGGGGTGAATCCTGAGAGGACTTGGGGCCTCACAGGGTAGTAGTTTGGAGGATGGCCTTTCCCCTTCCCCAGCCTCTTTGGGCCATATGTCATGAGCCCCAGGCCTGTCTTTCCTCTGCAGGTCAGTTTTGAACCGGTCTCTGCAGCTAAAGAACTGAGCTCTCCCTGGGCTCTAGGCAGCTCCAGTGAAACCTGGCGCTTTCACACCAGACCTTGGCCTAGGTGGGAAAGGGTAGATGGAAATGGCTGCTCCATGGACGCTTTGAGCTAATATGACACTCCCCTTTTCGCCAAAAAGTACAGGCTTTCCCGAGCCTGCGACCAGATGCTGGCCAGTTAGACAGCTTTCTGCCCACTGTGCAGTTTCCTCCTGGAGCAGTGATACAGTCCTGGCAGAGCAGTGCTGTCCTTCCTGCCCCTTCTCCACAGTCCCTGAATGGTGCTAAGGATCTGCAGCCGCTGGGGAAAAGCTAGAGCTGGAGGAGGCCTCAGTACCCTGTGGGGTCATGGAAAGCTCCGGGGGGGGGCTTTCCCCTCCTCTGTCGGAGAGGTGCTCTGACCCAGGGGCGTGTGGGCAAGTCCCCACATGCAAAGTCCTTTGATGGTTCTGTGCCATGAAGGCAAACCGCCTCGTGCCAGCCCAGCTCTGAGGTGCGTTGCTGCTCCTGGCTCCCTAGCCCTCTCCTTCTCCTCAGGCAGCAGACCACCTGCCCAGGTTGCTGTGGTGCTAGCCCTCTCCCATCATCCACCAGGAGATTCCTGGGTACCAGGGAACAGGATAGGACCCCCAGGGAAAGAAAAGAGAGCTGGTACAGGTTTCTGCAATGAGGAAAAAGATGTTTCCCAGGCCCCAAGCTTCGATTTCTCCAGCTCTGCTGTGTTTTATAGCCGAGGACTTCACTGGGAGTGGATTTTTCCTTGTAGCTTTCAAGTAGGAATTCCAAGGAGTGTCACCATCATAGGCCCCTCTTCATTGAGTCAGAGAAGCCCCTAGCTGCTCTCATGGCCCCGTCCCCCGATTGCCTGTCCCTTTGCCTGTGAAATGCCTTTACGTATTGTGTATGGGTGTGTGTGCGTGTGCTTATGCTCTGTCTCTTGGTCACTGAAGCATCTAAATAAAGAATTTCTCCCATGAGCCAGACTGCAACTTAACAGACCTGGGATTTGGTGCCAGATTGCCGTTGGATCTAATATGTGTGTCATGACCGCTTACCCTCACCCCTCTCAGACTCCCAGGGCTCTAAATACTGATCTTAAGAGGTGGCACAGAGATAAACATCTAAATTGCTTGGCAACCTTGTTGAAGCCTTCCCAGGTGCCCTAAACTTAATACCACCTCATCCACTCATCTACTTCCTCCTGTCACTGAGGGCTTTATGGAGGTCTTTAGGGGGGTTAAGCTGAGAATCTACGTTGTTTGAGAGGATCATTCTGGCTGTTCGGTGGAGAAGAGATGCAGGGGAGCAGGACAGGAGACAGACGGGGAAGCCAAAATGGAGGCTGTGTCCAGTATGGCTCTCTCCAGGCTAATCCCTTCAGGGCTGAGACCTAGCCTCTTTCATCTCTACTTCTCTAATGTGGAGTGGTGTGTCATGAAGTGTTTGTTGAATGAATGAATGTATGAATGAATGAGGGTGTATAAGGAAAGATGGCCTTTCCCTACACAGCTCTTACTCGGCACTAGGTTTGTTCCATCAACTTATAGGCCTAGAGATTCTTGCAGGAAGCTTTTCTATGACCCAGAAATGAGCTAGGGAAGGAGTGAGTGTGATGGCCTCAGGAGCCCTTTGTCCAATGTTTGTCTCAGACAGCCAGATCTGAGAAGGGTACCCAGGCAGCCTCAGCCCCCATTCTTCACTCAGCAAACTGTTCTTGGCACCTGCTGTTGACAAGCTGGGAAGGGCCCTACGCGGCCCCCATGGTGGGTTCCCAGCTCTCAGCATTCAAAGCCCAGGACTGTCCCAGCAGTTTCCCTGGAGTCCTTCTTACCTTATCCAGGGTGTCAGAATCAGCCTCATCTATCAGGCAAGGAAATGAAGGGCAGAAGGGTGGGTGGGCTGCCAGAGCATGAGCCCTTGGCGCATAAGACCTCTTAGTCTGGATTCAGGAGTCTCTGCTAGCCGTGTGCCCAGCCCTGTTGGCAAGAGGGCACAGGGATGAACATTTTCTTGCCATTGGGGAGCTCACACACTATAAAGATCATTATGGCAATGGTCAGAGGATCATAAAGGGTGCATTGAGAATGCCCAGATGTGGGCACTAACTCACCTAAGGGTATGAAAAAGCTGGAGAAGTTGGGAAACTTGCATTTGATCTGCATAACAGCCTTTTGAACTAGGTAATGATATTCCATTTTATAAAAAAGACTCAAAGAGGTATAGTATTTTGCCCAAGGTCCTGCCACTAAGAAGCAACAAAATGGAGAGTGGAATCCAGTTCTCTAGATTGCTAGTCTGGAACCCTTTCCAAGCAAGGACCAGAATCCTTCCCACAGGACCCCTGGGCCTGTGCCACGCACCTTCTGGCAGGACTATGGTCTTACAGGGCAAGCAACCATAAAATAGATTGGACAAGGCTCAGTGGTTATTTTATATTCCAAGCCCCCCCATACTTCTCATAATTTTACCCAAGATTTCCAGTGTATTAGACTCCAGTTATAACTGTAATAAACTGAAATCAAAATGATTAGCTAAAAAGGAAAATTTATTGATTAACCAAATGAAAAATTTCGGTACAGGGATGGCTAGATCCAGGTTCTGACACAGTGTCTTCAGGAAGAATTTAATCTCACTCTGCTTTCCTCTGTGTGGCCTCTTTCTCAGGCGGACTCTCCAGAAGGTAGCAAGATGGCCACTGGCAGCTCCAGGCTTGTATCCTGATAGATAGGCAACTACAGTACAGAAAAAACATCTTTTCTTACTAGTTCCAAGAAAAAATTCTGGATTGATTCATTAGCCAGCTTGGCCCTGTTCCGATTCCTAAACCAATCACTGCAACTAGGGGAAATGGTGCCCTTATTTGGGGCCTGGGAAAGAAGGAGCTCCACCTGAAACACATTGACTGGAAGAGAAAAGAAAGTGTGGGGCTCCTTCCAGACTAAGGGAGAAGAGTGGATGGGGGTGGGCAAAAATAACTGCTTTAAGCCATACCCAGAAATTGTCTTTATTTAAATACCACTTTTCCCTTACTTCTGAGCTACATTTCGTAATGTGCTCTAATTTTTCAAGTACAATTTGATAATCCTTACATATGTGTGCACATCTGGGCAGTCACCCTCCAGATCAAGATACAGAACATTGCCAGCTCCCCCAAAGTTTCCCTTGTTCCCCTTCCTAGTTATTATCTCCCAGAAGTAAACACTGTTTTGACCTCTATCACCATAAATTAGTTTTGCTTGCTCTTGAATTTTGTAAAAATGGAATCACATCCTCTTTTGCTTAATATTATGTCTGTGAGATTCATCCATGTTTTTGTGTGTGTCAGAAGTTCATTTTTTTCATGCTGTGTAGTAGTAGTCCATTATATGAATACACCACAGTTTAGCCATTCTGTTGATGGACAATTGGGTTATTTCCATTTTGAACTATTATAAATAAAGCTCTTATGAAAAATTTTGTATGTGTCATTTGGTGTGCATGTGCACACATAAACCCAGGAGTAGAATTGCTGCATGATAGGATAGGTGTGTGTTTAGCTTGTCTAGATACTACCATATGGTTTTCCACTGTGGTTCTACCAACTTACCAACTTGATAGCACTTGGTATTGTCAGTCTTTCTAATATTGGACATTGTTGTGGCACGTGGGAATTTGAACCCAAGGGTTCATATTGACTTCACATCAGGGCGCCTCTTACTATGAGCATCCCTGGGATCAGATTTGAATTTCCCTAGCCTGGAATGGTCTCTCATGTCAGTGCCCAGGACCCACAATACCCAATCCAACAGGTAAACATCAGAGGGAGCTCATGCCCGTGACTCTGGTGGCTAAGAAAGGTCTCATGGAGGGAGAGGTATCAGCCCTGAAGAGGCGGTCTAGTGTAGCAGCAAAAACTCAGGCTGGAGTCAGGCAGCCGGGTTCAGGGGTTCAGATCGTAGCTCTGCAGGGCTGTGTGATCTTGGCAAGCTGCCCTGTACCTACCCCTGAAACATTAGTATCTACCTTAGAGGGTTGTTTGGGGAATTAAAAGACTAGATGCATATGAAACAATTACAGTACCTGACATATGATAGATACTATGTAAATGAGGACTATGTAAATGTTCCTTATATTATTGGCCTGAAGTAAGCCCTGGGTCTCCCTGGGGATGTGAGGCCAGAAGGACATGGCATCTGGCACAGAGTCCTGTATTAAGTGTCAATGATTTATGAAATGCCAGAAACCTAATTCAATCTGATTGGGGGGCGGGGGGGACACGCTGGCCAGAGGTGGCTCTTCTCTGGCCTCCAGCCAGAAGTCACCTTTCACTGCTAAGGACCCTCAGCTTAGCCCAGGCATCTCAGGGGCACCTCAGATTCTGCAGCCAATGACATCTGAGGAGAAGACAATGGAATCATGCATGTAAAGCTCTTAACCCAGAGCTGGATGAAAAGCAAGTTGGGATGTAATAACCACTCAGTGCAGACACACAGCTATGTATGTAGCCATATAGCAGCCATGAAGCATGTCATGGAGGACACTGGTCTGGGATTCAGTGTCCCTGGGTGTTGGTCTGAGCCCTGCCACCAACTTCGTGTGACCTGAAGCCTTGCTATCTTCTGTCAGGTTGAAGTTGTAAGAAGTCACAGTTTGAGCCCAAGTCCTGAAGAGGTGGTGATGGATGGGCAGTTAGGGGTTCTCCCAAGGAGGTAACAAAGAAAGCCCTTCCCTCACAGCAGCCCCTACCAGATGAGCTGTTCCCATCCCTAACCAGACCTTCCTTCTGTTCAGCTGTGTCAAATAGAGTAGGAAAAACAATTTTTCCCTTGGGCCATCTCTCCACCTAAAAACCTCACCTACTCTGCCCTGTGCCAAGCCCACGTTACAGAGAGGGCAGGCATGTCCCTGTTCTGGCACTCCGAGGCTCACCGACCTCCACAAATCCTGCTTCATCTGTCCAGGGGCTCCAAACTCAGAAGAAACCTTAGTCGGTTCTGTAAATGCGTCAGTGCTACAGCGCAATGACCCTGGTGGCCACTAGGTGGAGAACGTGCCTTTTTTTTTTTTTTTTTTTCCTTGCTGGACAAAGCAGATCAGTCCCAGGGCCTTACTATTTGAAGACTGAAGAGAATAAGATGATTTTTCCTAAGCCCCTGTATTTGATATTTCATTTAGCCCTCAAGAACTTGAAAAGGCTCGGTTTTACAGTGGAAACTCAGAGGCAAAATCTTGGAGAGTTTACACAACCAAGAAGTAGACATGGAGGGATCTGACTGCCATGTTTCCAAGTCTTTGTTAGCACACCTGCTATTTCTACTTCCAAAGGCCCCCTTGCTCTTCCCTCAGGACACTTCCTTCCAGAGGACACTGTTTGAAGGCTGTAATTTAGTTCCTGCCTGGGAGGACACCTGATGGCCACCCTACTCATTAGCTTTTCTTATACTCTTTTCCCTTGGGTAATATCTCTCTTCCATTCTTCCACCTGTAGTCCTGTAGTCCTGAGAGACTGACCCCACTCCCTGGCAATCAGAATAAGTCTGGGGCTGTTAGTAGCCATCTTTGCCAACACATAAAGACCATCTGCATGAAAATTAAATCATCACAGAGGAAAAGAGCTGAGAGTTGAGAAGTGACTGATTTCTGATGAGCACCTGGATCCAATCAGGCCTGAAACCAGTACTCTCAGGACTTTTTACTTATAAGTCAATACTCTTTTTTCCTGAAGGCAATTTAAGGTGGGTTTCTATCATGACCAGGAGTACTGTCTAATACAAGTTCCAGCTTCCCTGTCAACCCAATGACCCTAAGAGGATCATCAACCCCCAAGGCTGAGTTCGCTGTCCTTCTGTGCTCTCTGATGATGCCCTGTGCCCCCTCTAGCATTGCCCTTATTATACTATGTCAATTCCCTGTCTCCTCTTTTAGACTAGAAACTCTTTGAGGACAATAACTGGGTCTTATCATAGTGGGTCTCTGGTGCCCAGCAGAGGACGGTGATTGCTTTAAAAACTGCTTAGCGATTGAGTCAATTCATGGATAAGGTAAAAGTCAGTGTGGGCTGGTAGGGACTATTGCTAGGATTTCACAGAAAGACTTCTTGAAGGAGCTGAGCTTCCGGTGGTTATCAAGGTCAAAGGACCCAGGTTGGGAGGAGAGTTTAAGTGCAAGGACCTAGAAGAGAGGGGCTGTGGAGTACAGTTGATTGTTTCGGTAATGGCCTCTCATGAGGCCATTTGCTCCCCTGCATCTGTGTGCTTTTGTGACGTGGATTTGTCACTCAGGCCACCGAGATGGGGAACCTGAGCTGGCCTCGAAACTCGCTCTGATCAGAGGATGCAGTGAGGTGACACTGTGCTACTTCCAAGGCTAGAATGTAAACCTTGCAGCTTCCACTCCTGCCACTATAAAAGGAATCCTGGGCTAGACCAAGTGGAGATGGGAGCCCGTGTGGAGAGAGGCCAACAGCCATCTCCAGGCATGTAAAGGAGGCTATCCTAGACGATCCAGCACCACACATTCTGCATAAGCAACCTCAGAAGAGACCAGCAGGAAAACTGCCAAGCTGAGCCCACCTATTCCACAGAATTGTTTTATTTATTTATTTTTTAGATTTTATTTATTTGACAGAGACACAGCAAGAGAGGGAACACAAGCAGGGGGAGAGGGAGAGGGAGAAGCAGGCTTCCTGCCGAGCAGGGAGCCCGATGTGGGGCTCGATCCCAGGACCCTGGGACCATGACCTGAGCCTAAGGCAGACGCCTAACCGCTGAGCCACCCAGGCGCCCCAACACAGAATTGTTTTAAATCACCATGTGCAGGAATGGTTTATTGTGCAGAAAGTCTTCCAGAATCATGAAGTATAGTAACCATACCTTGTTGGGGCCTCCTGGTATCTATTTACCTTTCTTCTTCCTTGAGGAACCCCATGCTCAGCTGATGTGATCTGTGTGGAGATGACCTCCACCCTCCTGGCTTCTGCTAGAACAATTGGGAAAGAGTTGCTAAATGGGAAGGTTTTGAGCCCAGAGCCATTGATAGCCTTCTTTGTCACCTCTTGGGGAGCACCTGCCAGAGAATGAAGCCATAGGGAAGAAAGCAAAAGAGAGAATGAGTCTTGGTCGGGCTGTTCCTTAAGCCTGATCCACCCCTGGACTTTAAAATTACATAAGCCAATACATTTACTATTTTGCTTAAGCCCATTTGAGTTGGGATATCTGTTACTTGCACCTGAATGAAAATATTGAGAGCCAGGAAGTCTGATAGAAGCTGAGCAGTGTGTGGCTGAGGGCTGTTAGGGTAAGACAGAGGTCCCTAGAGAGTGTGGGAAGAGGAATTTATTTTTCCTCAGCCCCTACTATATGCCAGAACCCTGGAATGAGACACAATTTCATGTCCTAGAAGACCTCATTCAATTGTGATAAAATGCTAAAAAGAAAATGCCAATGTAGCCAGAGCATATAATAGGAGGACTGAGCCTAGGCGTGGGATGGCAGGGGAGGCACAGCAGGGAAGGTCTCTCTGAGGAAGTGACATGCAAGCTGAGACTTGAAGGATGAATAGGAATTAGCCCGTGGGTAAGCAGGAAGAGGTGGGGAGAGGATGTTCCAGGTGGAGGGAAAAGCATGTGCCAAGGTCCTGAGGGAAGATGATGCTTATCACCTTGAAACAGGGAGAGTCTGTCACCAGATAAGGAAAGAGACTGGCAGGACCCAGGTCCCTCAGGGTGTATCAAGATTTTCAGCTGAAAGCAAAAGAAACAAACTCCAGCTAGTTTAAGTTCAGCCACCCAGGCGTCCCTGAGCCACCCACGCATCCCTAAATGTTTGTTATTTAAAGCCATTAAGTTTGGGGGTAATTTGTGACGTAGCAGTAGGTAACTAATACAGGTCTTTATTCTAAAATAGGAAGGGGTGCCTGGGTGGCTCAGTCGGTTAAGCGTCTGCCTTCGGCTCAGGTCACAATCCCAGGGTCCTGGGACCGAGCCCTGCATCAGGCTCCCTGCTCACTGGGGAGCCTGCTTCTCCCTCTGCCTGCCACTCCCCCTGCTTGTGCTCTGCCTCTCTGTCTCTCTGTCTCTCTCTCAAATAAATGAATAAAATCTTTAAAAATAAAAAAAATAAAAGCAACAGGAAGCTGTTGAGAGGTTTTAAAGAAATAGGGCAATGGGGCGCCTGGGTGGCTCAGTTGGTTAAGCAACTGCCTTC